GGAACATGGTATGAAGATGCCCCATAAAATGATGGTAACCAAGCCACAAAGTTAGTTGTATGGGGAAAGTGTCTGTGGAAATTCTCAGTCATCCAGATCATAGTTGTCTCAAAGGGGCTTTCTCAAAAGCAACTGGGGCGTTTTTTTTCCTTGAGGAAAATGTTTCACTTCTCATCCAAGAAGCTTCATCGGTTCTGGCAGGATGGTGGGGGCTATGGATGGATTAGTTCTGACAGGATGGGGGGGTTGACTGCAAAGAATATGATCCTTCCAACCTCTCCCCCCCCCCACCTCCTGTCAGAACTAATCCCTCCATAGCCCCCCCATCCTGCCAGAACTGATGAAGCTTCTTAGATGAGCAGTGAAACATCTTTTTCTTCTTCCTCAAGGAATAAACTGCCCAGCTGCCTTTTGAAAAAAAGCATCTTTGAGCGTACGCCTACATGGAATCCTTTCCTTTTCTTCTTCAAGTTGGTTAAGTACAGAACTGAAGAACCCATAGACATCTAAATGATTATTATTGGCCATACTGACCAGGGATACTGGGTGTTGTAGCTCATCAAAACCAGGTTGGTCCCAGATCCCCAACCCAATGTTGTTATAACAGCCCCATGAACCCTCTCGCCCACCTGTCCCAACAACTCCTAGTCTCCCGATCGTGGAACTTTCCATCTTTTGTAATTTTATAAGGTTGCTTTATATATTTTTTTAATTCTTAAATTATTTGGTTTTTAATGTTTTATTATGTTAGTTAAATTGTACACCGCCCAAGAGCCCCTCTACAAAGGAGATGGGTGGATAAGAAGTTTTAAATAAATAAATAAATCCATGAAACAGGTGGAATTTTTTCCCCTCTCCATTCTGTCCATCTGCTAGGATCTGCATTCCACCAAAGAGTGGGATCAGAGCCATTTTGTCTTTCCTTCTACCCAGCAATTTCAGGGGAATGCAAAAAAAAAAAAATTTCTGGTAGAGCAGTGGTTCTCAACCTGTGGGTCGGGACCCCATTTGGGGTCGAACGACCATTTCATGCGGGTCGCCAAACGCAGTCCGCCATTTTTTCCCCCTTTTCCTTAGCTGTGCTACTCCCTTTTATTCTATTGGCTTTTGAAAGCCAATAGAATAGACTCTCTTGAATAGAGTCTAATTCTATTGGCTTTCAAAAGCCAATAGGAATTGTCCAGGCTGTCTCTGCCCTGCTGAGCCCGCCAAAAGTCCCATTCTGCAAACGGTGCTGCACCAGTTGAGTAGTCCTTGACTTATGACCAGTTGAGTAGTCCTCGACTTACGACCGGTTGGGGGTCGCGGCATTAAAAAGGTTGAGAACCACTGTGGTAGAGGCTCAAACGGATTGTTTGCAGAAGGCCAAGTTGACCACTGTTGCTTTTTACCTGCTTCAGATTATTCATTTTATACCATAAGCAGGATATGATGCGTGGAGGCCATTTTCACTACAATGTAAGCTGTCTTCCTCTCTACCCAGAGATGTATCGCTGATAAACAAAAAGCTGTACCTTGTGCAGCTTATTCCTTGCACTGATGAATGCCATTCTGTCCATGGTGCCAATGCAAGAGAACACTTGATTGTTATTGGAAGTATTAATCAGCTGCCTATCAAGCCTGCAGGAAACACAGCCTGGGAATTAATATGTAGTCAGATGGATCCATTGCTTTCTCCTGTTGCCTAAGGGCTATACAGAAAAATCTCACACAAACACACATAAATACTTTTGCACCAGAAGCATACTTTTCTTACATGCAAAAGCTTGGCAGGAAGAAAGTGGCTTTGTGAAGTGCTTTGGAATGAATGAAAGTCATACATTGTCAATGGAATTTCTTCCCTTTCAGGTAAAAATTCTAGGGAACCAGGAACAAATCTAGTTCAGCCAAAATGCTTCTCATATTCAGATCCAAAAAATGATTGTTTTTAATGCCTTCAGAGTTTTTAATCTATCTCTATTTATCTATTTATCATGTCCATCCATCCATCCATCCATCCATCCATCCATCCATCTATCTATCTATCTATCTGTCTATCATCTAATTTATTTGCACCCAGCATGCGATTCAAAGAGACACTTTGAATTCACATTACACTATACCATAATCAGATTGGCTTTGTTCTGGCTTGTACTAAGTTTTGATCTAATCATTCGTAAATCATAGTTTATCGCAGAGCATATTGCCTGAATTAAGGAATTTGTAGCTTACTGAAAAACTGGTTAAAGCCAACTGTGTTTTAGTAAAATATGAGAATCCAAACAGACATATGTGCACAATCTCTTGGTTAGGAGGACTATCTGTAGCTTATTTCACATACAAAAAAATGCAGCTGGTCAGAAACTGCATCCTGTCCAAATGTCCTTCGGAGGCTCAGGGATTTCTGTCACCTGAGGGGGAAGCCTAGGCAATGAATTCTGCAAGAGAATCGGCTCAGTTCCTGCTTCCAAGGAAATGGTGCACTTTTGTGTGGCTTGAATTTTCTGAAACTGCCAGACAATTTCCTCCTGAGGAGAAATCTTGCCTTCTCCCTCCAGGATCCCTCCCCCTCCTTCCCAAAATCAAGTTACTGTGGCTCTTTGGCTTTGTCCAACTTGACTGCATTGTTCCCTGCACCACAAAAAGCTTAGGTAGGGCATCATAGGTAAAATAAACAAAATGGATACTCTACCCTTTTGCTCCCTGACCTTTGGATATCAGGGTCAAACCCAGTTCACCTCTTTGACTGACCCCATCGAAACCGGGTTGACTTTCCATGCCCCAGACAAAACGCCCACAACCACTTCTAAACCAAAGAGTAGAGGCTCCTCACCAGCTCATAGCACAATGTCAAAGGATTTGCAACCTAGAGCAGAGGTCCCCAACCTTTTGAGAACCAGGGACCGGTTCTGTGGAGAGAGGTTTTTCTGCGGACCAAGGGGGTGTGGTTTCTTGCATCCCATGGATGGGGCTTCACTTGTTTACGCAGACTGGTTTCTGGCATGCTGCGGCCCAGTGCTGGACCATGGACTGGGGGTTGGGGACCCCTGACCTAGAGAAACTGAGCCTTCTAACTCCTGACCAGCTGACGGCCTCAACATTCCATGGCCTTAACAAGGGACTGCTCTCCTGAAAGGGCTATTTTGCCTAAAAGTAGAAGTCATCCCAGGTATACAGACAAGGACTTGATTAGCTTTCCCAAACAGAGCGGCCAATCAGATCACTAGGATTTTGCCAACTTGTAGCCCTCAATTTCTATAACAATCTTGGCTTATCCATTGTTCAGGCTCCCTCTTTCTTCTAAAGCAGGCAGCCAATATGGTGTTTGCAATAAACATGGGTTCTTCTCCTCCTTAGTGTTGTGCTCTTGTTCTCTTCTTCAGATTGAATCCACTGGTCAAGTGAGGCTATCCAGTTTCTAAATTCTGTGGCAAAACTAGTTTATGGATATAATTATAGATGTCACATCTTGGAACACAACAAATTGGTCCCATGATCATCTTTTGCACTTGCCTCCTATTAGCTTGTATGTATATGTCTTTGAGTCAGTGTTGACCACTGGCAACTGCCTATGTTAGTCGTGCAGTTTTCTTGGCAAGGTCTTGAAAGAGGTTTGTCCTTGCCTCCTTCTTGGGGCTGAGAGAGACTGACAGGCCCAAAGACACCCAGCTGGGTTTATGCCTATGCAGTAGTGGAAGTCACAATCTCCAGATTTCTAGCTTGATACCTCCGTCACACCAGCAAACTAGTTCCCTTATTTTTTATTTATATTCCATCTTTATTATTTTCACAAATATCTCAAGATGGCAAACATATCCAAGATATCTTCCTCCTCCAAAACAACTGGCTATTATGATTAAGGCAGAACCTGAATTCATGGTCTCTGGCTTTCTAGCCTGGTGTTTTAACCACTAGACTAAACTGGCTTAAACTTACAAATGACTTAAATTGAGGGAACGGATTATTTGGTCATGATTTTTTTCTTCCTCCTGCTTGCCCAGCCCTTGCACTGCAGTTGTCACCTTACTTTAATATGTACCTCATTACAGGTAGCCCTTGACTTATGACAATTTAGCCCAAAATTTCTGTTGCTAAGTGAGATGGTTCAGTGAATTTTGCCTCATTTTATGACTTTTTGGCCACAGTTGTTAAGTAAATCACTGCAGTGGTGAAGTTAGAAACACAACTCTTAGCTGATTCTGGTTTCCCCATTGACTTTGCTTGTCAGGCAGTTGTAAAAGGTAATCGCATGATCCTTGGACACTGCAACTGTCATAAATATGAGTCCCTTGACAAGCCTCTGAATGTTTAATCACATGACCATGGGAATGCTGTCAAGGGTTGAGTGAAAAATGGCCTTGTCATTTTTTTCCCAGTGCCGTTGTAACTTTGAACAGTCACTAAATGGACCATCGCAAGTCCAGGACTCCCTGTACTCTAACAGCTATATGGTGGGAAGAAACCCATCCGATGAAGTTATTCCCATGGTCCCGACTTGATTTCTGCTTTACCTCTATTAATGAACTACGGCAGCCAGTTTTTGTAAAAATAAGTAAGTTTTTTAAAAAAAAAAGTATTAGGCCTTTATACTGCACCGGGGGAGAATAAATGCCCGAAGTTTTCCTCCCCGTTGGGCGGGAACGCTTCCATACCCCACCTGGGGTGGCTGGGCTTTTCTTCTTTCAGCCCGGCAAATTCCCCGCACCTCCCGCCCTTCCCAGAGGCCGCGTGTTGTAAATGGGTTTCATTATACGCGGCAAGAGCTCGCGCTTTGCCGACGTGAATGCCCGCAGGGAAGCGGGGCTTGTTAAAGAGGCTTAGCGGAACAGCCTTGACAAATGCCTGGTCCCGCGCAGCATCTGGGGCTCCAGACCCATCAATCCAAGGCGCCTGTTAAGCCGGCTGCAGGAGACGATGGGGGTCAGCGTCCCCAGCGCCGGCCTCGAGTTCCCCGGCGCCCCCCACAAACCATGGTAAACAAGCAATTAGCCGACGCGTCCCAACAGGGCCGAAAGAGCCATTTCGGCTGGATTTATCCTCGCAATAACGTGCAAGCGGCCCCAGACGGCAGTGGCGCTGCCTCTCGTCAGGGACCATCGCGGTCCCTCTCCGCTCGTCACGGGGAGCTGCCGCAGGGCCCGCACCGCATGGGCTGCCTCACAAATGGTTGCCACCCCTGCCATCAATCCCGCCTCACGTCCCCCGGCTCTGGGATGGCTGGAGATATAAAGGCACTGCCAGGAGAAGGGAAGCAGGACGGGGTGGGGAGCAGAGAGGAGAGGAGCGGGCCTCCACCATGGACGCTTCCCGCCTTTTGCTAGCGTTGGCCTTGCTCTCGGGCAGCCTGAGGCCGGGCCGGAGTCTCGAAGAGGTGCTGGGCTCGCGAGAGCTCTTGGTCGAAGAACCCAACGCCTACCCGGAGAGGTTTTTAGACTGGATGGTAAGTGGCCCCGAGGCGAACGCGGTACTATTTCGGCCTTCCGTTTGGTTTTTGCCTCCGTCCCGCCTTTCCTCGAAGGAAAGTTTTAGCCGCAGATGTGGCCGGGGCGTCCATTGTAAGCTGCCTTTTCTCCAGACTTTAGACCGGGCGCATAGATTGCCCTCCTGCTCCCATCACATTTCATCTTTATCACAACCTTGTAAGGTGGGTTAAGGAGAGAGACTAACTTGAACTTGCCCAGAAGAAAGCTTTGGTATAGATGTGCCAGCCCCCACTATACGCAGTCTGCCCCAATTATGTACATCCATTCGAATAGGACAATTGCTTGCATCTTTCCTACCAACAGAGCCAAGACTGGGGATCCTGGCATCAGCTAGCCAGTTTGGAGGTGAGAAGGTTAGCTAAAGCTCAACCAGAATAGAAAAAAACAAGCCTAACTGCAACAAGGCAATAGCTAATGGCCTTTGCTCATTTCTATTTCCCAGTCCCAACCATTTTTCTGATATTTTGGGAACTCCCCAAGAAGGACAAAGTATGCATTTCTTCTTCTAGTTTCTTCTATATTCTTCCTCTTACCTACTATCAGGCATGGACTCCATAGGTGGTCTTAAGAAAGTAGTAATTAATTTTAGCGCTAATAAAGATCTGGGATAATTCTATAGAGCTCTGTCAAAGGAGTATATGAAACATGCGTGGAATTGTTTTTGTATTAGGACACTTTTATTTTGTGACTGTTTACCTTGTTTGCTGTGTAACTTAAAATGCTGCAGCTTGAGAATTTCGGGCTTTTTCTAAGCATGATTCCAGTAACAAAAGGCGTAGGGAGATTCAGGCTGGAGAACCTGTATGTTGCTGTTCATCCTCATGTTAGTAACAAGCATCCATGTTTCCCTATGTACTGTGGACATGTGTTCTAATGAGTGACCACTCAATAATATATGGTGTGTGCGCGTGCGCGCACACACACACACACACACACACACACACACACACACACAGAGGTATCTTGTTTCCGGTGTACCATACTATTTGTGGAAATAGCTTTTTTTCCACAAGATATGTAGTTGATAAATATGATCTTCAGGATGACGTTTTAGAGGAATTCTGTTCTTTTTGTTATATGGCTGCTATTGGAAAGGAACATGGGAAAAAAGTTCCCTTTATGAAATCTTAAAACTGTCTTGCTGATCAGTGGGTGCCTTCAGCTGACTAGAATGAAAAGGCTTCTTTGCTTCCTGGTGTTTTTATCAAAGGGCACGTTTGCAGCAAGAGAATTTCCAGATTGACATAACCTGTCATATTCTGATATGAAAGCATCAGTTTACCCAAAATGTGTCCTTGCAAACTCAGGATTAATAGGCAGTCTTATAAAGGCTCATAGCATATTGGGGGCTGAAATAGAAAAGCTACAGATTCCCTGTGCATTTTAAGAAACATGCAAACTGAGCAATAAAAAAACAATATAGCCAGGATCCAACTTAGAGTAATCTTTCTCTTGTTATAGGTATTGGACAAAAAAATTAAACTAGAATGTACTTTAAGATTTACATCTGAAACCCCCTTGCCCAACCTGATTGCCCTCCAGTTCAAAACCTATCATTGCTAACCTGGCTGGGGAGGATGGGAGTTATAAACATATTCAGTTGGAAGATGTCAGGTTGTGGAAGGCTGATCAAAATCTGAAGGCAAGCTATATGACTGAGTTTGCTTAACATACTTAATGCATGTTGGGGTTTTGCACAGTACACTGAATAATACACTAACAACATTATTTAGGTTTACCCAACACACTATTCCCATCTTAAAACAATCTAATTAGGAGTAAAACTACAAGCTTAGCATGTTATGTGAATGCAACCGTTTGATCTTTAACCTGGCTAGGCATATTGTGTGAATCCAGCCACTAGAGCAGAAGTCCCCAATCTTTTGGGCACCAGGGACTGGTTCCGTGGAGAGAGATTTTTCTGCGGACCGGAAGGGGTGTGGTTTTGTGTGCTGCCTGCATCTCGCAGATGGGGCTTTGCTTGTTTGTTCAGACCGGTTGCTGGCATGCCGCAGCCCAGTACTGGTCCACGGACCAGGGGTTGGGGACCCCTGCATTAGAGTAAAACCAACGGGAAGCAGCTGCCTTTATTTTGTTATGGTGCAGGACAGATCTTCTCCCATACTTGGGCCTTCACGTTGAAGCTACAGACAGCATTCAACATCTACATACTGTTCCTGCATAATAAGGGTGAGCTGTGGTTGTATTGGGTCTTCATCTGACCCATTGTACCTCTTAACCTTGGGGCAAACTCTCCTCCTGTCCAACTGCATGCTCTGATGAGCTCCAGGCTTTCTCCCTACAGCCACAAGAGGGTGAAGAGCACACTGGACAGACCTTACCTGACGACCATCTGCTGGGCATCCTTCTCCGTACATTGTTCCATGCTGCGCAGAGACCTGGCCGCAGCCCTTCCTTCCTCTTCCAGCCACAGAGGTATGACTGATTACAGGTTTATTAAGCAGAACTACCGCATATATTCAGGTGAAATAGGAGCAAATATGTTGACTTCATGTTTCTAATACAATTTCAAAATTTCATTTTGGTCAGTTTTCTGGATTTAACTTGAAAAACATTTTTTCAGTGGTTGCATTAGAAAATCCAGCTACTTTTCATCCAAATGGTGCACTATTTGCATAGATTTCACTAACCTCTCATGGCATCATATAGTGTAAATATGAGGCAACAGCTTCATAGAGATAATTAAGGAAGAGCAAGAGATAATGTGTAATTGCTATCCAAATAGAGCTTTCCAAACTGTGTTGTTGATTTTTTTTTTGCTGTTTTTATTCTTTTTTATGTCCTTGCGTGTGACAGATGAAGTAAGGTCAAGTACTAGTCCCAGCTGTAGGAGAAAAATTAACCAGGATTGTTTTACTTTACTGAATTCCTGGCTTACACCTCTGCACAAACCAGGAATTGTGTTTGAAATACACTGCTGATTGACTTTCCATTGCATTTATTCAACAATTGAATAGTGTTTCTGTTACATCCTGGTTTGAAATAGCAAGCCAGAAATTGGGCAAAATGAAACTGAATTTTGGTTCATTCTTCCTCCAGGATGTGCAGGGAAAAACATGGGGAAATCAGAACAGAATTCTTTATGCTTCTCTCATACGGTAGTTCTGTGCTACCGTACATACAACTTCTGCCTAACTGATGCAAATGAATGCTGCCTCTCCAATACAAAGCAGTACTATGAAGTGCACTCAGAACTGAATGAATACATGATCCATTTGTTGGCATCCCCATTCACATGTGCCTCCAACAAGGGATGGCTTTCATCTTTTCACCTTTCTGTCCTTTAAAAAGAACTAATTACTTCCTGAACCACAATCTAATTCACTTCAGAGTCAAGTCCTGGAGGCAAGTGATACCCTTAATTCTTTGCTTCTGAGCTTTCTGGAGTCATTTCACCAGCTACTGCTGGAGACAGAATGATGTTATCAGAGGGAATATCACTCTGATTTCCACCAAGAGGGCTCAGTTTGACCCTTCAGGCACTGCATTCTCTGTGTTGCTCTCTGCTTCTGATCCTTTTTATAGGTTCGGCCGTGAAGCCAGGACCAGCAGTTTGAGAAGCGCTGGCCGGATCAAACCACGGGCTTGGGATTCTTTGGCCCCTCAGTTTCTGAGTTTGGCTACGCCACAGCGCTTTGGCAAGAAAAAATGAAGCTGGAAGTAGCAACCTGGGAAAAATAAATGCCAAAAGTAATTGCCTCCTGGATCCTGGCAAACTGGACAGGAGCCTCACCTTAATTTTCTGCTTCTTTATTTGTCACTCAGCCTTAGCTGGTGGCCTATCCCTATTAAGGGCGTGTATTTTATCTGTTGTCAACAATAATAAAACAACATTGGTACATCTTGGAGGATACTGCAGTCCTTTTGTCATGTAGACTAGCAGGTAACTCTCTCTGCAATTGACCTCTTCAGCTACAACCCTCATTAGTCTTAATCTTCAGGATCATTGAACAGGGATGAGAGATGTTCTTCAAAGTTTTCTGTTTGGGAATGGTACTCAGTGCTAAGGGGGAAAATGAATGGCACAGTTGGAAAAAGAATTATGGTGAAAATTACATGTGCCTTCATAGGTGAGTACATCTATGGTAAGTGAAGTCTGCTTTTATGCAAAGACTTCCTCTCTAAAATGCTAAAAATGTTTGTTGGTCACAGTGGTGGTGAGTTATTGGCAACACCTGTCTGGGAGTGAATCTTTAAAACCCTGCAAAATGCAAATTCTCCCCCAAATGGATTTTGCACAATGCATAGAATTCATTACACTGAAAGACTACTATCTTATGCTATACCACATATGGCCAAAGTAGCTGAATAATACAGCTCCTAGAATAAGGGGTATGTAGCTCAACATAACCTGTAAGCATCAGATTGACCCTGGCTGAGTTAGAAAAACACAGTTGCTGTTTATGGGACCAGTTACCTATTCAGATTCTTTCCTTGGGTTGGGACAGCTGCATGCCTACAAAAATGAGTATTGGTTTGAGGAGACTGAAGACAATCTGGAGAAATTAACTAAAAGGCAGAATTGTTTGAAACCCCGTTTTAAAAAAGAAAAAATATATTTTCTGGACATAAGAGAGAAGCTTGTTGGACAATTCAAAATTTCTTTCCACATCTGAGTGGTGAAAATTGACTTCCCAGATGTTGCCGGACTCTACCTGGAGAAAGTATTTTAGGGCAGCTGTAGTGGGATTTACAGCCTCAGACCCTCCCTTCTGATAGCAAAGAAGCATGTGGGCAAAGGGATGCTAGCTTTTCACCCTCAAGTGAGCAGGACTGTATCTAAAGTAGCAGAGATGATAAATAGCTCAAGCAGCCCAAAGGTTTCTGGATTATGGCATGTGGTGAGGGAGGTACAGCTCTCTTGTATGCGCATGCCTGATTCCTTTAAAGAACTGGGGATAAAATAGGACAACTTTTTATTTGAAAAAAAAAAATCCAATTTTTTTTTATTGCGACTCCAAACATGATAGAAATCACTTGATGCTCATGTCCTGGAGAACAACAAGGGCAACCCCGAGTGAGCCAAAGAGGCAGGATAGCCTCCAGATGGGTTGTCCTTTTCCCTCAGAAAACAAGGCTCCGTACACCCCATCACTGCTGCAAGTTCAGCCAACTTTTTCAAAGTCTTCCAGTTCAGCCAGCCTCTGCCGACCCTCCTCCCTTCTTGCAGCCCCATCCAGTCACCTCCCTGTCACGCCAATTCATGAGAGGAAAACAAAGCAGCCTCCTCAATGGATCTGCGGCATTGTCAGGCGCGTGCCTCTCACTTGCCCCCAGCCATGATTCTGAGGTATTGAAGAGCATTGCGGGCAGCGTCGGCACGGGCAGCACTGCGGGAAATGGCTGAACCGTGGCACACGGTGGCTGGCTGTGTAGAAAGCTCCACCAAGCACTGGAAAAGGCCACTTATGCTCGTTTCATCTGTGAAGGGGGGAAAAAAAACCATTGTTACTCGAGCCAGGAAAACAGCAACCTGCTGCAACTACAAAGTAGTCCTTGATTTACAATCATTCATTCAGCGACCGTTTGAAGTTACAGGCACCAGGGGAAAAATAACTTATGACCATTTTTCACACTTAACGACGGTTGCAGCATCCCCATGATCAACATTTGGACGGTTGGCAACTGGCTCATGTTTATGATGGTTGCAGGGTCCCAGGGATCATGTGATCACCTTTTGCAACCCTCTGACAAGCAAAGTCAACAGGGAAGTCAGGTAGACTTAACCACGTTACTAACTTAAAAACTGCAATGATTCACTTAATCAGCGGTGGCAGGAAAGGTTTTAAAATGGGGCAAAACTCACTTAACAGCTGAATTGTTTAGCAACAGAAATTTTGGGCTCAATTGCAGTCGAAGGTCAAGGACTACCTGTACACATTTTGTATCGATTATTCTTAATTCAAATTAAAGCATTCTTCAAATAGAAGCAGAGCAATGGATAAACAATATCTACAAATCTTCTGGCAATTAAAACAATAAGATAACTGGAGGACAAAAAATTTTCTTAGCACATGGCTGTGATAGTAAAAGAACTGTTTGGTTCATCTGGTGTGGTCAGTGGCAAATTATTTCAGCCTGTCAAACTAAAGGGCAACCATTTGGTCCTGCTTTTGTGAGCTTCACTGGGGACCTGGTGGGTTACTGTAGCATGGAGTTGTTAACACAATAAATGTTAAAATTTTGCTATGGCTGTGGACTCACCAGGTGGCCTAATGGAGGGATGGGGAACAAGCTGACTTCAAGATACTGATGAATTGCAAATTCCAGATGGCTTAGCTCAGTGGTGGCGAACCTATGGCACGGGTGCCAGAGGCAGCACTCGGAGCCCTCTCTGTGGGCACACGTGCCATTGCCCCAGCCTCGCCTCCCTCTGTGAGCCCCTCTCCAGCAGCCCCCCTGAAGGAGAGTCACCCGAGCGTGGCCTACGCGGAGCAGCGCAGTCAAGGATATGGCAGTCAGGCAGTGTAGACAAGACTCTTCCCTCACACCCCATCGTGCACAGTTGACGCTGCAGGCGTGGGCAGAGGGCGTGACCGCCATAGTGCTGGGCTGCCTGGGCGATCTGCGGCGGGCCCTGGAGGTGGTGAGTGGACCTGCGGGTAGGTGGGGCAGGGCAGGGGGTGGAGTGGGGGCGGGACCAGTTTTTGGGCACTCAGTCTCTAAGAGGTTCGCCATCACTGGCTTAGCTACTATGGACACGCTGAAGGATGCTCGGTGTTGTAATTCTCATCCAGAAGTTAGGGAAGGCAAACCTATTCTCAAATGAAACACCAGGATATGCAGTACAGCAAAATGTCTAAACAATAAGCACTAAAGTGATACTTATTTTCCATTTCTGTCACCCCTTCTAATCTTAAATGTTTTGGAGAACCCTACCTTAACAGACAGAATAGGTTTGTCAACTGTGTTTCTGTGGCTCTGAAGTATACATTTCCATTCTTGTTTTGAAACTACTTTTAAAAATGGTATAACGTAATATTCTAACTCAAAATATAATTTTGCTGAGTGAGTTAGAATGGATATTTTAAAATGTCATTCTGCTCAAGAACAAATACATGATCCTTGCAGAGCTAAAGTCAACATTATATAATAACCATTGCCCTTAAAAAAAGCAGGCAGGAGTAGATTGCTTAAGCTCATAAGGTAATGGCGAATGCCTCATTGCACCAGAGTTAGAATGCGGTCATTCCTGAAAGATCGCAGGACTCACTTGTCAAATAGACAAAACAAAAATCTGCCTGACTTGGTGGTGATCACTTCAATATTTTCCTTTTTCCCATCTAATAAATATATACCTAAACTAAAGCAGATCAACATTACAATGACCATGCTAAATTCCTGACCTTGTCTTGTTTGGGGTCACTAAATGAGGACTACCTGCAGTGCATAGGAGGGAGGAGAGAATTCACACAACCTTTGTAGATAACCACTCCCTCTAATCTCTGCCTCATTCCTTACCAATATCAAGGTAGCTGATATCAAAACTCTGCTCTTCAGAGAGCTCCTTCAAGAGGTTGCAGAACCCAGAATTGAAGACCGAGTGGCTTTTCAGATGAAGGATCTTCTCTCCCACTGAGTTGCGCAGAGAATCCCAGGTACAACCAGATCCCCGACTTTTCATCCCATCCAGTTTGGTTCCTGCAATCTAAGTAGGAAAAAGTATTCAAATAGTCAGGAGGTTCTGTTTCTTTCACAGATTGCAGCATACCGTAAGTAGTTAGTTGACTTCCTTCTGCTCTTACACAATTACCCGTGACTTTCTGTCTTTGTTCTTGCTAAAATTCCTAGGTGCCCTGCCGCCCCTCAATAGTGTTACCAGCCACTGATCTAAAAATCAGCAGCTACCTCCTTGCAGAATCCAGGAGTGGGAATGGCTTGTCTTTTAAGTGATCAAATTACAGTACTCCCAAGTTCCAACTTTCAAAATGCCCATACAGAAACCTGACAACACAACTAAGAACTTGCAGCGCCCAAGGGGAAATGTGATATTGTCTTTGGGGTTCAATTCTTTGAACCCAGATCCCAGTGCATTCTGGAAAACGCAGGCCAATGACTTCATGTCAACATCAGACCTTTTGAGGTTGGCAAAGTGGTAGAGAGTATTATATATTCTTTCTTGGACTGGATGACTGAGCAAAATTCACCCTAAATATTTCACTACTTAAGGCAAAAACAAAGATTTGTCCCGTCCCATTAAGAAGTAAACTGGTATTCAAATTTGAGCTGTAAAGTTGCCCAGCATAGCACTTCATTACCTTCTTCCTCTTCCTTTCTGCTTCTGCGCAAACACAATATCCTGGGAAATGGAAGGCTGATCTTTAGCCTTGTTCTAACCATGAGTCAGAAGAGAAGAGGAGAAGAGTCCACCAGTCCTCAGTTGCACATTCAAGGGACACCAGTTTATGCTGCTTTCTATCATATTGGCCGACTAGTTTCCCCAACTTGTTGAAAACAATGCATGGGATGTTTCTGGCTCGCAGAAAACCTCCAAATTGGCCACTAAATCTTATTTTAGTGACAGAAACTGATGGAACAAGTCATATTGTCTGCCCATTACACCTATTTTTGGACCAGCGGGACCTGATGGTGGAGCCCTACTCGCCCACAAGCAGACTATTGCAACCTGCCTTACACGAAGGCTACTCTTGCAGACCACTCAAAAGCTGCAGCTATTGGTCCAGACTGCAGCAGTATAAGTTGTAATGGGCACGTTTCGATACTGTATGCCGAAAAGTGGCAGAGCCACCAGCTGAAGGGGAAGGAGCCTTTCTAGGGGGAGTAAAGAGGCATTCCAATTTGGAGTCTGTTGAGGGAGCAAACATCTGAGGTCAAACCCTCAGG